GTGATTCTATGCAAGAGAACAGTTGATTCATTAATAAGATCTCTACTTCAATAACAAGGTCTTAGACTTACTTATCCTTCTTAGGAAGAAATTGGTGAGAATTAAGCTCCATTTCTGATATATGAATCAGAGAACGGGGAAGGAGGGAGTCCTACATATTAGAGCCCATATAATTTATTGTTCAAACTAGAATGCTTCTGTGAGCAAACAATGACATTATTATTAATAACATATGCCAGAACAACATGTCCAGGTATTAGCAGACATCACATATTGTCATCTCCTGACCTAAGGAATCTGATTTTGCTCAGAGAACACCCTGCAGACTCTCTGGAGCCTGGTATCAAGTGATGTTAACTATCTTGGCCCTTCCTTCCTTCTGGAGAATGTCTAGAGCACTAGAGAATTCTCCTTTGAAGTCAGGCCTGGGACCTTAAGGACAGCTAGGCCAATGGAATCACTTCCTTAATTTCCAATGCACTCAATTTTCCACTTTTATAAGATTGCTGCCTTTAATACAAATAGATGAGAGGGTTGGGAAAATTTAAACTGTTTTGTCTGTTCAGAAATCACCTAAATATCTGAATACTATTAAATTAGTGTTTCTCAAACGTCTTTCTTTGCATGCATAAATCATTGAGCAGGGAGTAGCTTTCACAAAAACCAAATCTTGAGCCGCATCTCAGACTTGGTGGACTGGTTCTTTTTTGGAGAATTCTGAAAGTTTTATATTTTAAGCAAACTCTTCAGGTTATTTAATAAGCAAGTTTGAGAAATGCTATTTTTTTAATTGTGATTAATAATAGGCTTTTATTTTTTATTTATTTATTTTTAAATAAATTTTATTTTTATATTCCCCATAGAATTGCAACCCCCTTATTTTGACCCCAATCCCTCCCCTCCCCGCCCCCCCACCCCCATAGAGTGTCTCTGGTTCATAGTTTTTTTGTTGATTTTGATTTTCACTTTCTTATAGTTATTCATTTTCCTGGTCCCTTATTTAAGTTTTCTAGATTCCTGCTATGAGTGAGGCCATCCGGTATTTTTCTTTTTCTTTCTGGCTTATTTCGCTGAGCATGATCCCTTCCAGCGCTATCCATGTTGCTGCAAATTGCATGTCTTGAAAAATGTAAGGGAGGGTGTGTCTTCAAATATGCAGATAAATATTTTCATATGTATATATATAGATGGATCTAAAGGAAATACAATAAAAGGTTAACATTAACAGAGTGATGATCTCTGAGAGAGGTATTATGTTCTATTGAATTGTCTGTACTTTCTGCAATATTCACAGTGTGTTATAATCAACCATAACAAGAAGCATTATTTTTAAATTATCAGGATATTTCTTAAGCAAATTACAAGCCTGGCTTACTCTTTTTCCTTAATATGTGAGAATATTTTTTTAAAGTTTTTTTTTTTAAGATTTATTTATTTTTATACAAGAGCTGGGGTACAAGCCAGAGGCACAGGAGGGTGAGAGGATTCATGAGAGACAGAGTGGGGAGCAGAACAGGCAGACTGACTGAAATACACTGCTGAGGGGAGTAGCAGGTGAGACAGGAGAGGTCCGCTGCACCATGTGGGTACGTCCCTGACCGGCCAGGAATCGAACCCATGCTGCAGAGGCTGCAGACAGCTTTACAGTGCTGCACTCAACCCACTGCACCACCAGGGAGGCCCTGTAAGTGAGAATATTTTGTATTATGTGGACCAAAGTTGTTTTCCTTAGGTTTCCCCACTCAGGGAACTTCATGTAGATGTGCAATTTGTACCCTGCACAATGCTACAGAGGGCCATTTACCCTGGGTTGTCTTGAATGGCATCTCTTAGAGCTGTGAGTGCACCACTGCCTCATTGCCTGAAAAGTCATTTCTCTTGCATTAATTCTTTACTTAGAGATTATGTGTAGAAAGCAATTATAGATGAATAATAAAATAAGAACTTCATATATACTTGATGATTTATCAAAGCTAATGCATATTTAATTACTTTTATATGAGGAATTAGGGACGATATCACAGATATGAATGAGTCAATGATCATACGGGGAAGATACTTTTATGATGAATTTCAAGTTAAAATACTCTGGTTGCTTTCATAATGGAATTGGTTAAAGCACATTCATTGCCACAAATGATATCCTTAAGCTGCCCAAGGCCTAAGAAAAGAAAATGTGTTGACATAAAAATGTACCTGAAACCTCATTATTTAAATTGCCACCATGTCACCACAATCCTTTCCTTCTCCTGGGTATATTGTGTGGTTTTAGTTTTGTCCATTCAAGTGTATGCATTTTAATTATCTGAAATGAGAAGGAATAAGGGGAACACTTGTTTATTCATTCAAGTAACCAAGACATATATAGAGAACATCTTCTATGTGCTAAGCTCTGGTAGAAGACAGGTAAATCTGACCTGAATCTTGCTATCAAAGTTGTGACAACATAGGAAAAAATAAGACTAGTGTATATAACTAATTAAAATGTATGGAGAAAATAATAAATGGCCCATTATATAGAACTCAAAAGAAGGAGAGATTTACCTACAACTTGGGACAGGTGTAACAGGAACAAGGGGAACATTTCTGAAAGGGAGCCATTGCAAGAGGACCCTTAAAGATTGGATGGATTTGAGGACCATTCTCATTTAGAAGTATGAAATAATCAGTATGGCATGCTTAAGTATGAATAAAGGCCCAGAAGCAGGAGATGTAAAGATGGCATAAATGACTGCACTGGTGGGAATGTAGGGCAGTGTATTGGGAGGCAGAAGCTGAACTGGCAGACTTAAGTCATCTGGCACAGTTAGGAAGAAGCCAAGACTGAAGCATTACTTCCCCATTAAAAAGGTCAATGCTTTCTGTTCATATTTTCAAAAAGGCAGTCAGTTAACTCCAGAAAGCAGATCTTAGGGTCACAGCTGAGCTGCTTACACAACCTCTCAAAGAGCAAAGCCCCATTACCTTCTTGGTCATTGGGCATGAAGGTTAAACATTTTATATTAGGAAGTGAATGTGACATGCAGAAGTGTCCAAAGCTCTGTTTCATTGAGTTATTTTATTATTCATACAAACTTGGTAACATTAAGATTGTATATATGTGTACTGTGTGTATACATAATTGATATAGGTCATTAGGGATATGGAGCAAGATATACCTTTTACACAGATTTTCCTTTGCAGTATACTTTCTGTAAAAGTATCCTACCTATTTATCTGAGAATTATTTTTTTCATTCTCACATCTGCAAAGAGCAAAATGACTTAAATCTGATGTGCATTTGTGTTGTAGTTTTGGTGGTGTTGGTATAATAAGTATTGCTGCTCAATTTACTCATATTTGTAGTGAGTCAAAAAATATGGGTCAACTAATGATGTATGAGTAGATGGTGATTAATGCTGATTCTAAATGTGAGGGGTAGAGGACTGTAAGGACACAAAATAAGGGGTTCTGAATGGAAAAATACAATAGACTTTCAGCTGTCTGGTCATCTGGTAAAGATGACAACTTAACCTTATCTCAGTAACTCTGTAATCAGGAAACCCTGCTCTGAACCCCATTTTTTCCTTGCTAAATTTGTCATCATATTTTACTACATGGAATTAATAAGAGGATAATTAGTCTAAAAGTAAAAGTGCTCTATAATGCAAGCTAGTAATACTAATTCTTGCTGTGATCTATGGAATACCTAATATGCATTGGGTGCTTTAAAGTCATTACTTTAAACCTTCAAAATATCATTTCAAGGTAATATTAACTCTTTAATAGATAAGGAAAAAGATTCAGAGAGGTTAAGTGACTTGCTCAACATCACAAAGCCTGGTAAAATATCTGAATAAAGATTTCTATCCGGGCTTGTTTGACTCTCAAGTCTTTGTTCTTTGGCATTTGAACTTTTTTTCCCCCCCTTGGGCAGAAAAGCGAGTGATTTATTGGCAGATGAGAAGGGCAGGAAAATTCTTTGAGACGAGAGGGGTTCTGAACGGATTGCCTCGAACTGTTTTTGACTTAATTGTTTTCATTAATCACTGAAGTTTCTCTTTGAAAATAAAGTGTTGTTAATAATAGTCATAATAATAACAATATAAAATATTTATTGACTATTATGTGATTTAATAGGGACTTAGCATTTAATAGCCCATTTAATCTTTATAACCCCATGAATAGGTGATATTATTATCTCCATTTTATAGATGAGAAAATTGAGACCCAGAGTGGTTAATTAACTTGCCCAAACTCATACATGACTTTGCTAAAATTCAAGGTCAGACACTTAAGTGATTAAATTATTTAAGACAAATGATTGGAACGCAAGGTGGGTTTTTCTGAATTTCGGTGATATAATAATGCATAAAGTAAGGCTTTTTCTAGTGGGTACCATTCACACAAAGATTAATGTACAATATGTGTTTATATTCCAAAGCCTTGTCAAAACTGTTTCTATTTTGGGCTTATTTTGTCTATCATGAAATGAAGTTCAAGAATATGTCACATTGATGAGCATATCTATACATTTAACTCTACAAAATTCACTCTTATTGTAAGTCTATAATCACAAGAATGGTAAACTGACAAAATGTCTCCTTTTAATTTTGGTCTCAACTTTGAAAGCCGTATAACTACTTTCTTTGCTTATTAATTTTCCAAAAGTGTTTAAGATATGGTAGCTTGTTGAAACAAATCTTTTTAGCAAGATTAATTTTAAAGTTAGACATTATGAGTATCAAATTAAGCTGTCAGCCCGTGAAATGATACTGAGAAAGATGTGTTACAACTGCCCTTCCACCCCCACTCAACCTCTGTAGAGAGTGTAAGTATGAACAGGAATACCATAGGCCAGGAATCACATTTTAGTAATTCTTTTCTAGTTATGTCAGATTTCTAGCATGCTATTAGAGACACATGTGTCATCCTCACCATCAACCAACATATCATTGCTGTTTCAAACTGTTACTAGAGTTGTTGACACAGAATATTGTGTCTGTCGACAGCTCCAATTAGCTGGCGTGTCTGACGGGTGACAGCATGGTCTACTTTTGTTTATGGGGACAGTGGGAGCTGTATCTCCATCTCCCAACCTCCAGTGGCAGACAGATGGATCGAACTATATAATCATCAATGGAAGCATGTGATATTCTGTCTTCACAAACCATCATGCGGAGCAGAACCAACGGCCCCTTTGTCTGCATTTAGAATAACTGCAAGATTATTGTCATCTGTCAAGTTACAAAGGTGAATATATATGTAAAATATATCACATATATATTATATATATACACATATATGTGCATGTGTGTGTGTCTGTATGTGTGTGTAGAACACATCAGATTGGGATATGAGGAAAAATAGAGCAAAGCAAACATAAAAGCCAGTGTCATATTTATTTTTTTATCATGTCAGTATTGAAGATATTTTTGCCTCAGCACTATGTTTAAATTTTAAATTTTTAAGTTTTCTTGTTACATATGACTCATAACTAGCAATTATGTTGCTGGAACCAATTGACTTGATTCATCACTTCATCTCCTATCCTCAGATAACAACTCATTCTTTACATTTCAACTCAAATGCTACTTGCCTGAAAAAACATTCCCAAGACCACCATTACACATATTCACAACGGTATTCTTTCCTTTTTAGTATTTATTACAGTTTGGATTATTCATTGTACAATTATTAGATTAACACCTACTTCTCCATTAGGTTCCATGAGGGCAGAGAACAGGTTGGTGTTGCTTGCCATTGATTCTCTGGTGCCCAGGACAGTGCCTGGTACTCAGCTAGGGCCAATATAGATGTGTTAGGTGAATGCTGTTCAAGTTTACCGATACTGAATCTTTTCAGATAAAGGAAATACTGCTCTTATGGTTTTCTAAGACTAGAACTTCTTAATAGGAAGTGCTTCCTTGCATTTAGTTTATACCTGACAACCTATCTCAGAACTAGAAAAGGTAGGTGGTAGTGGTAGTAGGGCCAAGGGTATGTTCTAAGCAAATGCAATACCATGTGTGAGGTGACTGAATAACTTTATAAGAGTCCAGTTCAATACATGTCAGAATAAAAGGAGAGATTTGAGAAGAGTAAGAGAGAGAGGAAGACTTCCAAACATTGAACCACCTTTAGCTATAGGCCAACCTAAAACTTTGACTTGGAATCCTTGAAGACTTCTTACATTCTTTTCGTGGATGGTAAACATATTAATGTTGGTCTTATCCACACTGTGTCCCAGCACACATGGGAATGAGACTCATTCTCCTGAAACCTGGCTTGACCATGATATCCCACATATCAAGCAAATAGGTGGTATGAAGGAGAAATAAATAGTTGTTGTTTTATGTAACTGAAATCGCAATATTATTTGTTATGGCTGCAGATTGTAGCCTATCCTGACAGATGTAAAAATCTTTACATTATATCAAGTTTTTTATGTACTTTTGCATATAAGACTATAAGGTGAAAAAAACCCACATTTTTACTTCTATATCCCACATTCAATAAGTTGGTTGCCCTTTAGTTGAAACTTGAAACCTTTTTCTGACTAAATGTTTAGAATTTATTCCACTAAAAGCTCATTGAGGGCAGAGGCTATGTATTTTACATTTTTATACCACCCATCAAGTCCTACTCTCTTAACAAATGGCAAGCATTAACTCTTGAGTGAACAGATGACCTCTTAAACATTTCTTTCCCTAGCTGAAGCCTATCAACTAATTTTGCTTTTTTGTATGGGTTCTACTTCCCAAAATTTGCATTTTTGTTCTCCAAATTCTCCTTACTCATTTTGAATTTTAAGAGTCACAAAAGGTCATGGTATGAATACCTACAAACAGCAGGCATGAATATGAGTTAAGTCAGATGTTTTCTTTCCTCTGGATTCAGTTTTGTTACCTTTGCTCAGTCAGACAATTGAGATTTATTATTTGTCAGTTATTCTTCATTTACTTTGGAACTTAGTAGAGACATCTAAGAACTTCTTTTTAGTTTCTAAGATATTTTCATAATTTTCTCATTTGGTCCTACCTAGAAACCTTAGCAAAAATAGATAAGGTAGTAAGTGACTGCAAGTTTCAGAGAGGTCACCTAAGTAGCCAATGGAATTTGTACCACTGAGTCATCAGCAGGAAGTTCTGTTGTGCTAAAATAAGTAAATCATATAAATAATTATCTTGCTCTACTTTACCATCAGCTTGATTTTCTAGAAGGTTGAAGCTACAGCTGCTCTAAACTTAATTCTCATTGACAAGATGATGCTTGTGTAGAACAGAGAATATGTGAGAAAATACATTTTTAGAGTTAAAAATGGTCAAAGAGAAGACTGAGCAAAGTCAAATATATTCTTTACACATTCAGAGTGATCTTCCCCCTAAATCAAAGAAACAACTCGAAGAAATCGCATCATTTTATGAACAGAAACATTAAAAGGAATCATAGCTCAAAGGAGGTACAAGGCTCTGAAAATGTAATTCTGATCATATATTCATGAATAATTCCCATGTGAATAAAGGTAGAAACATCTAAAGAAGCTTTTGTGACTGCCAAGGGGGCTCTCTGATGAGTTTATATTTTAAAAGATTCATAGGAAAGATGGAAGAAGGAAGGTACAGCGATGGGTGAGCTGGTCAGGCAGTGCTATGGACGAGCCCTGGGAGCAGGAAGACTAGATTCCTAGGCTGCTCAGCCATGTGTGGTCATGCATGGGCCATTCCTTGCTCTTGAGAGTGGATCTTCTCTTTCCTAGGCTTAAGATGAAAGATTTATAAATGCTAAACATGCAAAAGAGAGACCCTAAAACAGAAGTTATTCAAATGAAACTACCATAGAATGAGTCAAAGCTAGTAAAAAAAAAAAAAATCTAAATAAGTTTAAAATTGCTTTGAATCAAGAAAAATAAAGAAGAATAAAGCAGAGAACTATGAAGTAAAAGTGGATGGGATGGGTAAACATGTCCTATAAACTGTGGAGAGATACAGAATGTGAAAAGGCCTGGCTCTGATTAATGTTAGCCCCTTCCTTAGGGATTCTTCTTGCTTTGTTATCCAGGATCACTTCTATTTGCCTATAGACTGAGCTAACAAGAAGAATACCCTTCACAATGAGGGGGCAGAACAAACAATGTGAAGAGGAAACAGAGTCAAGAGAGTTGAAGAGAGAAGGCATTAAGTGCCCTTAATCAGAAACCATCTATATTAGTACTGCATCTATATTGAACTGCATCCCTGGACACTGACCTTAAAGATATGATTAAAGAATCAATCTTGCTGCTCACAAGAAACCACAGAGACCAAGAGAAGAGTCAGAAGACAGAAGGACTTATGCCATCAGTTTTCTAAGGAGACAGAAGGCAAATCACTAGTGTGATAAACATAGTGTTGGTCTCTAGCAAAAATAGAGCATATTTTTCAATTGGAGAGTTTGTGAACACATTATAATGAAATCAGCACACATGAAGAGTCAGCACTCTAAGAACAAATTCTAGTTATTCAGCACACACACACAAATACACACATATTATTGAATTGATAAATAGTGGCAGAATCATAGTCAAAGATGTCCTCATGCTCATTCTTGAAACTGTGAGAGTCAGGTTACCTGGCAAAGCTAAATTAAGTTTATAGATGGAATTAAGGCTGCTTATCATCTGAATTTGAATGGGGAGGGATTACCCTAGAGTACCTGGGTGGACCCAATGTAATCTCAAGGAGGAGGGAAGCCAAGAGTCAAGGTCAGAGTGAAGCCCTATATGAAAATCCCCACCAGCCACTGCCACCTTTGGGGACAGAAGGGAGCCACAAGACAAGAAGGGTCACGAAAAGTATTTAGAAAAGGCAAGAAAATAATTCTCCTCTAGATCTTCCAGGAACACCTTACAAACACCTTGATTTTATTATCAGTGAACCCCATTTTGGCCTACTGATCTCCAGAATTATAAAATAATTGATTTGTCTTATTCGAAGCAGAATTTGTGGTCATTTGTTATAGTACCAATAGCAAAGGGAGTCTCTTAACTCCATAATGTTTTCAACAGATTTTTTCCCCAAACTGATGGACAAATGATTAATATTATTTGATGGATTTGCATTTGCTTGAACAGGCAGCCCATGTCATTCTGAGAGAAGCGGCTTTGTGTCTTGCCACAAGACACTGTTCTGGGTTCATTTGCTCATTCACTTATTCAAGTACTTATTGAGCATCTTTTATGTTAATGTCTGAGAATTCAATGGGGAACAAGAAAGCAAGGCCCTTACCCTCAGAGTTTACATTCAAATGAAACAGAGACAAAAAACATAATTTCTAGTACTGATGTGTGCGTTGAAGGAAAACTGTATATATCATTGCTCTTCTAAAAAGTACTGTGAAGTTGATCCTGATCCAATTATTTCATTGAAATTATGGTTATTAAACATGTTAAAGCACATTGCTAAACTCTAGTCCCATTGCATCATGGGCTCCTCAGTGGCAACAAACCTCAGTTGGTACCAATATTGCTGAAATATTAATCACAAATTAGCTATTGCCATGTGCTATATAGATGATATAAACTCATGACAAGAGAGCCCTAAATATTCTCCCTCATCTAGGAATCCATAGGTCTGTTGTTTACAAATGAATTGGATTAAAAACATTATCCAATTATATAAATTTGATGTTTATGCTCTATACATGCAGTAAGTAAATAAGGAAATTCTGTCACCTTTAGAGAATCCTCATTGTTTTTAAATAAAGAGAATGCCATGCATGTGGAGTCCTTGATGATTTGCTCTTTGACTGTGCACTGACTCCTTATAATTCTTGTTTTTTCTTATAGACCTTTTCAAAGCATCTGTTTTGTGACCTCCCTCATCTGCTTCTTTAGCATGATCCTATGAAACTCTTTTCTTTTTCTCAAAATTATGTGGCCATATTGGACTTTTTTCTATGTCTCATACTCACCAAACAATTCTATCTCAGAGCCTTTGCAGCTCTGTTTCCCCTATAAGGAAAAATGTCTTCTCACATTGCTCACCTGACTGATTTCTTGTCAACATTCAGACCTCAGGGAGGCCTTTCCTGAGTTCTCAATCTAAAGTCTCTCTCATCATGCCACAAATGTTTCTATCATACAAGTTCTTAAGCTTGGCTGTGCATCACATCATCTAAGAACTTTTTAAAATACAAATTACTGTGTCAGTTTCTGATTAGTAGGTCTGAGGTAAAGTCTAAGAATTTGCATTTCTAACAGTTTCCCAGGTGAT